TTATTATTATTATTATTATTATTATTATTATTATCATTATTATTACGAATTTTTCTTAGATATTTGCATATTTTTTACAATCTTATGTACTAGAATTATATTGATTTTGTGATATCAAAATACGCAAAATATGCAAGCAAAAATATGTTGTCTCTTATTTTATATAATTTTCAATTCCAACACTTTTTAGAATAAAATAAATAATAAATATAATTCGACTAATTAAACTCCAATTTATTCATATTTATTTTTCCATAGATAAATAATCGCTATATTTGCATAGCGTTCGCAATGTATTATACTTAAAATTGATATCATCTGTAAATAGATTATGTGTATATGTATAAGTAGAAAAAAAGGGAAATATATTCGAAACATTAAAATATGAATCTCCTCAAATGCTTAAACGAGCAAACAGAGAATGAAACAATCTGAATTTTATCCAACGAGAAACTTTTCTGATTAATAAATGAGTCTCTTGGGACTTGCGGTCAAGTTTTGCATTTTTTACCTGTTTTTGCATGCGAAACGGCCTCCTGCCCAGCTGCATCGCCTGTCTCGTTATATCCAGTATGCGCACATAAATTATTTATCCGGGGCGAAAAATTTGTCCGTTGTAACTTTAGATGCGTCAGTCTCCATATTTAAATTCTTACTTATGAATGGCAATAATTCTGAGGCATGCCGTACGTGGCTTTTCGTGGCCATTCATTTTGCACTACCTCACTTTACTATTTTATTATCATCATGTCTATTAATACGTGACAGCTTGGCTATTACTATTTACGTCTGTATTTCAAACACTGCCGCATGCTGACCCTTTCAGTATTAATCAAAATGAAAAAGTATAATAGCAAAAATGTCTACCTTTTATAATTCGTAAAAGGCACGTTTTTATAGTTATTGACAATCAGCGACCATAACGAGCCGCGAGGCTCGAATAATCGTATATCCTCTTTCCAAATTGTTCATGTTTGTTTACAAGCTAAGGGACAATTGCAGGGAATTTACTGTACACACCGTTTTTACAATTCTGTATTATATTATATTATATTAAGCCTATGTTATGTTCACACTATGAAATACAGGTTATTCATTTGAGAACTTTAAATCTAAAATCGAAATATCTCGAAAACACCTCATTTACGTCAAACATCTCGAATACAAATACACTACACTCGATTTCGAGGGGGAAATGCAATTATTTTATTTATATTTTTGTTGTTGAACGCTTCGAAGGTTATTTGGAGGGTAACTTTGTTTCTTTTAACGGATATCTATATATTTATTTACAGATTTTTATTATACGGAAAAAAGAATAAATTTGTTAGACCGATGTGAATATCGTCGTGGGTTCACGATATCGTTTTTCGTTCTTTATCGATATACTGATTGTGTCTTGGGTTATCGTGAGTACAATGCGCTCATACTTCCGTTCTCTGTTTATGTAATTTACATTAATTTCTGTCATAACTATTGTATGAAACATTTTTTAATCCGCTCTTATTTTACGAAGATATACAGAGTGTCCCAAAATTATGGTACTTCTGGGAAATGAGGGGTTCCTGAGGTCATTTGAAGTAACTTTTTTCTGAGTGAAAATGCAATCCGCAGCTTTATTTAAGAGTTATCGACGAAAAACAGAGACCAATAAATGGCCAGATCAGCTGGCGCGAAGCGGCCGAGCTAATAAGCGAAGTAGGTCTTCGTCCGCTCAGTGGCTCGGCCGTCTTGCGCCAGCCGAGCTCGTCTCTCATTGGTTACTATTTTTCGTTAATAACTCGTAAAGTCACGGATTATATTTTCGCTGTGAAAAAAGTTACTTCAAATAACCTGAGGAACCCCTCATTTCTCGGAAGTACCATAATTTTGGGACACCCTGTATAATAAAATGAACAGGATAGTAGAGTCAGTTAATATGGGGTCACTAAATGTTGTGCGCTTTGTTTGCTGTCGAGCACAATTAACTTTATATTTATCCAATAAGACCTATTAAATTCTTTTGATCTTTTATTTTGTCTACTTTTGAATAAAAAAGTTTGATTGATATTGAAAACAAAATTTTTCTATTAAAAAATAAACAGAATAGAAGAATAAAAAATGTAATATGTCTTATTAGATTAGGGAAATATAACGTTAATTATGCCCGTAAATGAACCAAAAGCACAGCAATTCGTCACCTCACAGTAATCTGTTTCATAACTCTATTCAGTGTTTGGTTGTATGTTTTAAAAATTGTGAAA